AAATAACATTGCAATCTTATGCGTCTATGTATGTCTCTGCAACAGCAACAGTATCTGCAACTGTCTCTGCAACTGTATCTGCAACTCTCTTTCTCCTCCGCAACTGTCTATGTCTATAGAAAGAAGTTTAGAAGGATTTTCGAACAGATTTGTAATACTTTTCATTTGCATGGATACAATTAAGACATCGTTAAATATGTATACATATATACATACATACATACATACATACATGCATGCATGCATGCATGCATGCATACATACATACATACATACATACATACATACATACATACATACATACATACATACATACATACATACATACAAACATACATACATACATACATACATACATGAAAAATGACGAATTATGCAAAATTAAAGCTAATAAAATGCTCATAAAAAAATCATTTTTTTTCAATGAGCAATGTTCAAAAGTGCCACAGAAACGATGTTATGGAATATTTAAAATCCATTGATATAAATGTCATTTCATGTTTTCCAGTACTGAAACGCACAGATTCTCCCGCCAATGAAAGTCCAAACAACGACGATTGCGAGTCTACGATGTTCAGGGTATGCGTTGAAAGTAGCGATGCTGCTAAGATGAAAAATCCGGACGTTATTTTGCAACATATCATCGTCAAAGAATGGAGGTTCAACCCCAAAAAAACCGATGACAAAAACAACAACAAACATGAAGAATGATGTTTCTAATAACCTTTATCTCAATATGAAAAATGATGAACAATGGCCAATTTATCTTCATCTGATAGATGGCACCTGACAATAATGAAGTTAAACCTGGTCGGCTTGATGATGTTGATCCTGATAGTAATTTGTTGAATGATTTAAATAATGTGTGTTCTTTTTTACCTCCGGATAAGGTTTATGCATTTATTAATCCGAATTCTTTTTCTGTTTTTCACATTAACATTCGAAGTATGTTTAACAAAATGACTGAATTGAATATTTTGCTTGATTATTGTGGTGGTAATTTTGATTTGGTAGCTGTAAGTGAAACTTGGTTATGTGATCAGACCGCTAATTTAATTAATTTGCCTAATTTTAATTTTGTATCTAAAAATCGCATAGGTAACCTAGGTGGTGGTGTTGGTTTATTTATTAAAAGTCATTTAAATTATGTTGTTCGGGATGATTTATTATCTTATTCTCCTACTTTTGAGTTATTAATAGTTGAAGTGTTTTCAAATATTAGCTGTAATTATTTGTTTATTGTTATGTATCGTCCTCCTTCTACTGATGTTAATTTATTTTTGAATGATTTAAAATCTTTACTCATAAATATTAATCTTGGTTTATTTAAATATATTTACATTATCGGTGACTTCAACATTAACTTATTTTGTGACGATTATAAACATATATCCACTGTATTCATCAATTCTTAAAGCTTCTTTGGTTTTAATTCTTTGATTACGACTGCAACACGTGTTACTACTACTAATTCATCTTTGTTAGACAACATTTTCACTAACAACATTTCTTTTCATAAATCTGGTGTTATTTTTTCCTCAATGTCAGACCACTTTCCTATATTTACTTCTTTTCATTCTCCTGTTATTAATATACCCAACTTATATATTCCTTCCTTTAATTATAATTTTTATAACATTGATAAACTAAATTTACATCTTAAGTATTATGATTGGAGTTTAGTTTTGAATTGCTCTCAGACCGATGAAGCTTTTGAATTATTTATTGGCATCATAAAAAATGCTGTAATTAAATGCTGTAGTATCTCTCGAAAAAAAACTCTTAAAAAAAAGCCTTGGATCACAAAGGGTTTAATTACTTCATCGGTAACAAAAAATAAATTATATAAAATTTACCTAAGTTCAGGCTCGCCGTCGGATAGATTGGTATACACCAAATATAAAAACACTTTTCTAAAGTTATGTAAATTATCCGAATT